TTAAACACAAGATGAACACTGTGCAACATGCAAAGACAAGACTTGGGTTCCTATACATAGAACTGTATAGTATTTTCAAACAAGCCTTAGGATTATCTGCTTAAAGTAAAAGATTCAGTCTGAAAATTGTGCAGCACCTTGTAGAGAATAGCTAGTTAAAATGAATAAACGAAACCAGTTCTCAAATCTTCATGCAGACTAAGATAACTGAAACTGTCATTCGTAGGGGTGAGGCCCTTAACCACTTCCTGTCTGGACACTTTTACCCCCTTCCTGACCAGGGCAATTTTCAGCTTTCAGCGCTATCACACTTTGAATGACAATTGCGTGGTTATGCAATACTGTACCCATATGAATTTTTTACCATTTTTTTGAGACAGATAAAGCTTTATTTTGGTGGTATTTATTCACCGCTGAGATTTTTATTTTTTTTACTATGTAAATGAAAAAGTCCAAAAAATTTTTTTTAATAAAATTTTGCAAATAAATAATATTTCATCATAAATCTTGGCCAAAATTTATTCCGTTATTTTTTTAGTAAAAAAAAAATCCAAACTAGTTTATAACCAAAAATTATAATTTTTTAAAATTTTTTTTTTACATTTTTATTTTATTTTTTTTTATATTTTTTTTTATTTATTTTTTTTACATACGGTCACCCTAGCAGTACAGTGTCACCATGGTGACACTGTACTACTTGTGGGGGGTGATGAAGATTTTTTTTTTTATACACTGATTGCTTTTACACCCATATAGGATGTAAAAGCAATAATTTCTCTTTCTCTCTGTCTGCATTCTTGCAGTCATTGAGAAGTACTGAGTGAGCTGTGATTGGTCACAGCTTGTCACATGGTACAAGGCTGTTGTGAATAGCCTTGTACCAGGTGACCTCTGTGATCATTCACAGATTTCACACGTAATAAGCAATGATGTCACAATTGACATCTTGCTTACTACTTTGCACTGTGATCACTGATTGGGACCTCGTACAGAGGTCCCGTCCGACGATCGGTGTTTCACTGTGTCCGGAGGACACAGCGGGCACCGGATCGCGGTGCTGCGCGCTCCCAGGGAGCGCGCACAGCTAGAAAAGGCGGGTGCCGTTTATGAACGACAACCCGTCCCTGGAGTGCCACCGCCCTGCCGTTTATAAACAGCAGGCGGATGGCAAGTGGTTAAAGATCAGGAAATGTTGATACTGGTGAACAAAATCAAAACAGAGCGCACTCGCTTCGTTCATTAACGTAGTAAGCCAAGAATTTTTTTTATAAAGCATGTAAATGCATACTCACAAACCAAAGGGGGATGAAAACAGACAAGAAGAGTCCATAATGACAGTCCAAAATAGCGATAGACCCTTAGTGACGTAAACTAACGTGTTTTGGGAGACTAACTCCCTTCATCAGAGCTCTTCTCGGTTTACTACATTAATGCATGAAGAGAGAGTGCCCTGTTTTGCTTTTGTTCATCATAATAGCTAGTGAGAAGGGAGTCTCTAAGGAGGAAAATATTAGGGAAGGATGGGGTTGGAGAGGGATGTTGAACTATTGTGGGCCCATGATCAAGTTGAAATTATATAGTCCATAGGGAGTCATTGAAATCTCTTAGAAAATGATGAAAGATGCACAAAGTCCAAATCCCTTTTTTTAATTTGTGACCTATGGCCACCAGCTTTTCGATGACCAGGTAAAATACTGACCAGGCTCTGAAAATAAATAAGCACAAATCGATCTGATCTGTGGTATAGTCAGTGACATTTTCCTTTTTGAGGTATCCCTTGCAAAAATAAATTTGATAAAGTAGTGAATGGTTAAAATTCTTTGTTTGGAAGAGATCTCTCCAAAGGAAAGGAATTTCTACCTAAGCGTGTTGTCTCTCATGTTGAATCCCAATGGCAATGGTCAAATGGAGAGGATGAAGATTCACAACAGGGACACAGACAGCAAAGACCTGATAGAGTTTCTATCTCCTTTATCCAGCACAACAAGATTCACTTTACCTAGTGAAATTGTGTTTCCACATCAATCAGGTTATTCTCTTATTCTGCTGATAGAATGTATACTCCAGAAGAGCTGTAACTGTCAATTATTTTCATTATTTTGGGCAGCACAGTGGCTTAGTGGTTAGCACATCTGCCTCGCAGTAAATGGGTCATGGGTTCGATTCCCAACCATGGCGCCTCCTGCATGGAGTCTGCATGTTCTCCCTGTGCTTGCGTGGGTTTCCTCCGGGTTCTCCGGTTTCCACCCACACTCCAAAGACATGCTGGTAGGTTAATTGGATCCTATCTAAATTGGCCCTAGTATGTGTATGTATGAATATGTTAGAGACCTTAGATTGTACACCCCTTGAGGGTTAGGGACTGATGTGAACGTACAATATATATATGTAAAGTGCTGCATAAATGGACGGCGCTATAGAAGTACCTAAATAAATAAATAAATGTGATAAATCCTTATCAGATCTTTTAGTAAGCACTGCAAAATTAACGCGAACAATAAGGTGTTCCCTACATGCGTATTTTTAGTCCATATAAGTGAATTTCAGGTTATTTATGAACAAGTCCGTAAAGGCGCTTCTTTTTTTTGCATTTAAAAATATAACAAAGTCAGATTGTATTTAGTGAGCATAAAAAAATTACCTCTCCAGAGGCTCCAGAGAAAACATTCTGAAATACATTTGTTAGTACAAAGGGTTATAAGGTTTCAGACAGCTAGACAGCATACAATTACCTAGTAACAAACAAAGACAGTCATTCTCATGTCTAACTTCATACCGGCTAACAAAAGGATGTTATTTTCATTGGGATAGAAATATGACTGCTTGAAAAAATGGTGTGAGTTGAAAAGTTTGGTTTAACACTTTGATGCTGGTTTTATTGTCCAGCAAAACAAAAAGTTTTAAAGTAGATCTGTGGTTGGGCCATAAAGTAAAAGTTATTAGAGTGTATTTTGTTGCATTAAAATATATTGTTGGGCGGCACAGTGGCTTAGTGGTTAGCAGGTCTGCCTTGCAGTAAATGGGTCATGGGTTCAATTCCCGACTATGGCGCCTCCTGCATGGAGTTTGCATGTTCTCCCTGTGCTTGCGTGGGTTTCCTCCGGGTGCTCTGGTTTGATCCCACACTCCAAAGTGGATCCTGTCTAAATTGTCCCTAATATGTGTATGTATGAATGTAAGTTAGGGACCTTAGATTGTGCACCCCTTGAGGGTTAGGGAGTGATGTGAATGTTCAATATATATGTGTAAAGTGCTGCGTAAATTGACAGCGCTATATAAGTACCTGAAATAAATAAATATTGTGAAATATAAAAATAAATTCCATAAAGTAGAAGTTCACCTTTTTAAAAAAAAATGAAACGCCATACACCCTTCTTACATCCCCAGTCCCCACTATATTTTGTGGGTGATGAGTCTTCAGTACCTAAGCAGTGGGTGCAGCAGTCTGGGGATTTGAAATCTTGGCTCTTTCCCTTATCTCTGTAGGGATTCCAGATCAGAGCAATTCTGATTGGTCAGAGTGGTACGTGAGTGCTTTGCCCATTCGGAATCGCTCTGATTTGTCTCTGCATCTCAGTACAGTAGGGGAAGAGGAGCAAGGATTTCAGATTCCTGGAACACTACACTGGCTGCTTGGGCACCGACGGCTCATCACGCACAATAGTAAGTACAGTGAGGCCCGGGGGGCAGAGGGTATAGCGTGAAAAGATAAACTAACCCGCTGTTAATGCAACAAATCTATATTTTTAAAGTGAACATATGAGTTATTACCAGGAGCACATGATCATGTAGACACAATGGGGGTGATTAATGAAAGCAGATAGGCTCCTCACTTTGCAAGGGAGTTTTTCTTTAGTTTATTGAATGAGGCACTGCTGACTTCCTTCATCCAATCATGTGCAAGCAAAAATGGTGTTTTTTTTTTTTCTTGCACATGATTGGGTATTCTTTGCAAAGTAAATTTTCACCACATTCACTAAGCTGAGGGAAAATTTCCTTGCAAAGTGAACAGCGTATTTGCCTTTAGTAAATTAACCCCAGCATGTTATATGTGTCTCACTGGCAAAGCACTGTATCCTCCTTGATTTGCTGCACTCATCTGGTTGCCACGGCTCTGGAATCTGCTCTTGCTCTACTGTAGTCCACCAGCCAAATAACGGGCCACACACTGAAGATGTTCAATTCCAGCCCAGGTTTATTGTAATTACAGAACACTACTTATTCCCACCCAAAGGCATGTCTCCAACATGTTTCCCCATGATTAAACCCTGCTGTGAATGACATATGTTGGGGGCATGGCTTTGGGTGGGAGTGAGCAGTGTGCTGTCATTGCAGTAAACTTGGGCTGGAGTTGAATGTCTTTGGTGTGCAGCCTGTTATTTGGACTGTGTAGGGAGATAATAAAACTGTTTACTATTTTTTTTTTCTTGTTGAAGGCTTCAGTTCATGATTGAAAATTGACAGTTAAAGTGATTGTAAGGCTGAAGGTTTTTTACCTTTTTGCATGAAGGAAAAAACCACCTGTGTGCAGCAGCTTCCCCAGCCCCCCCCTCCCATACTTACCTGACCCTCATTGCGATACAGCAATGTGAATGACAGCCTTGGCTGTCCCAGGTCTCTGCCTTCTCATTGGCTGAGGCAGCCAATGGCTACAGCTACTGTCAATCACAGCCAGTTAGCCAATGAGGAGAGGGGGGTGGGGCCAAGCCACTGCTCCTTGTGTAAATGGACATATGGAGCAGCGGGTGCCCCCCATAGCAAGCTGCTGTGGGGGGCACCCGACAGACAGGAGGAGCCAGAAGAGCCGGCAGGGGACCCAAGAAGAGGAGGATCCAGGCTGCTTTGTGCACAACCACTACACACAGCAGGTAAGTATAGACATGTTTGTTATTTTACAAAAAAAGAAAAAATAAACCTTTAGAATAGCTTTAAATTGATTGTGAAACTATGTGAGCCCATGATCAAGTAATTTTATACCGGTAATATGATTTGCATCACAGGTTGGATCAAAACATTTGATAAATATTACTATGACCAGACGCAGCATATCCTGAACAATATGGTGGTCAAACTGCAAGAGGATCCACGTCGAAGATTCATCTGGTCTGAGATTTCCTTCTTTTCAAAGTGGTGGGATAACATCAATTCCCAGAAGAGGGCAGCAGTGCGAAGGTAGGGTTCTTGCCATAAATTTTGGTCTATATCCAGCGTTGACATGTGTGTAGACCCTGTATCTGACCTTGTGTCATAGGAAGCCAAAGTACTGTAGCCTTGTCCTCCGTTCTTGGTCATGATGTTAGCTATACTGTATTTAAAGTAGAACGCTTTTTAAATTTCTGGATTGAACTGGATTTAATCCCCTTCATGGTCTTTCCTATTCTATGAGACCCAGGCAAAGAGATCTCCCTTCTTCCCAGCTGTGTCCGTCCTTTCAGGACCAAGCAGCTTATGTCCTCCACAAAAGTTAATTTGCCCTATGTTGCTATGGATAAGCCACTAGAGGAAATGAGATGTGGAAGTATTGCAAGCATACTTTAACATTTCTGGGTGTCATTTGTTTTTTCCCTTCTACTCAGAAGGAATATTGAGAATCCGCTTCTGCAAGCTTCCAGTGGCCACGGGTAGTTTGGCCCTGAGTAGAGAAGAAGCTAGTAGGTAGGAGGCGCTCTCCCCAATAGGTTCAAACTGAACAGCATAGAACCTGAACCGCTGAATCTAATAGCGGCACTTGTTGAATGCATTGGTTGGGACCATTCAAAAGACAAAGCATTCCACAGATACTGGGCTTCATGGAAGATCTACAGTTCTTTATAAGATGTATATGTAGGTGTTGTGTAGACCCCATCTAAAGTTGTTATTTAGATCTTCTGGTATAAGTGAATGCAGGTTGGTTGAATGGCCCAATAACTTCTTATAGCTCCCAGGGGACTGCAGTGATGGCGTCTCCCAGTGGGATTGTGGACTTGTATTCCTGCTGATGCAGTAGAAAGATTCTGTCTTCTGAATGCATTTTTGTATTGTAAAAGAGGAATGAGTCTCAAGGCAGGTAGAAGAAGCTGGGAGCAGCAGGGATCATACTGAAGAGGTTTCCAAGAGTGGTTGGTGACCTAACAAATATATTGGGGGGGGGGGGGGTTTTTGTTTAAGAAGTTACAGTTTGACTAGTATTCTTGTCTTTTTTAAAGCTTAAATTATATTTATTTTATACTTTTCCTATTATGATTTATTTGTTGGCACTTGACAAGTTTCGTTGATCTGTGAGTTTTCTCTCCAAAGGTTAGTTGCTAATGGCCAACTGGAGATGACAACTGGTGGCTGGGTGATGCCTGATGAAGCCAATACTCATTACTTTTCTGTAATCGACCAGATGATAGAAGGCCACCAGTGGCTGAAGAAAAACATTGGTATGGAAACCAATTTGTTTGGGTTAGAGGGCTGCAATGTTTTTACAGTTACTTATGAACAATGAAACCTATTAATCAAAAAAATGTAGCTTAATAATGTAATTTGCGTTTAATTGGATCCTTCCTTTCTCTTGAAAGGTGTTAACCCAAGGTCAGGATGGGCGGTGGATCCTTTTGGGCACAGCTCCACCATGCCATACCTTTTAAAACGCTCCAATATATCCAGCATGCTGATTCAGAGAGTGCATTACTCCATCAAGAAGCATTTTGCAGCCACTCGAAGTCTGGAGTTTATGTGGAGGCAGACGTGGGGTATGGAAACATCAAGAGGTTTTTGGCACTTCTCCTGAACGTGTGGGTTTAAAGGTTTCTGCTGAAGTTATCAATTGTGCTTCCAGCCAGTCTGTCGTCAAGTGTACATCTGCAGCCTCCTTTATGGCAGTTGCTTTTTTCTTTAAGTTACTGTTTGTAAAAATCAGATAATTGGGGGAGCCCGCATTAAAGTTCAGCTGCTTCAATAAATGTGCTGATCTCGGTATTCCCTTCTTTGCCTTTCTTCTTTGTGTGGCTTCATCACCTTTTTATTTCTGATGTTAAAATAATTGTGGTGCATTAATTAAAGGATTAATAATTATGAGCCAGATACAGAATAATTAATGTCCACTTATGAAATATCTATGTGCTGATGTTGCATACCTTTGATGCATCAAGGTGTAAATCTTCTCTAGTGATTGCTTTTTTTCATACACTTATGCATGTCTGCATTTGCTCGTGTCTGCGCACCCAATTGGGAGATGGATGATCATGCACAGAAAAGTGCACGTGACGTACATTTTTACTTTGTTGGCTGTTACTAACAGCCTTGGGTTCAGTGAAAGGCCTGGGAGGCAAATACGTCTAGCTCGTGAGGTCTGTCAGTTTCTCAGACACTCTGAAAGAAATTACAGCACAAATCCATATAAATATTCCCTTTTTAAATACCCCTATCAATCAGAGACATTTGTTGGAATTTTTGATAAATAGCCTTAATCAATGACCAGTTCAAGAAATCAAGCTTCAAGCCATTTATAAAAAACAAACAAAATTGAGAATATGGAGGTCAGACAGGATGAATTGAGATTGGGTGCTATGGGGGTTTACAAACAACACAAACATTTTTTAATGTTGCTTTTATGTATTTCCTGTCTCATTTGATCATGTCCTATCACAGCGACAGGAAATTGGCAGAATCTGGTGCAACTCTATATAGAAATCAATCTGCTTCCAGGTTTTATTGCCGAAGCTTAATTGAACAAGCGGAAGTTAGAAGCTGATTGATTTACCAGATTTCATAAATCTCCCTCCATGTGTCTGCAAATGTTTATCCAAAACAGCAAAATTGCATTGCCATTTTGTGAACCACATTCCCTACCCTAAAGTAAAATCTGGTAGTGTGTGGACTGCAGTGCAAATCTTGTGCGAGTTTGTATAATGTTACACATTGAGATGAATGTATACCCTTAAGATTTGTGTTCTGTAAATCCTCATGCTGCCTTCCTTTCAAGGGGCCAGTGGTAACAGCAGGGTCCTCTTCAACAAACACTGCAGGCACTATTGCTTTTTCTATAGTGAAAGGCAGCGCATAGCTTAGAAATTGCTTCACTGAGCACTTGCATGTATTGAGCTGTTTAGCTCAATCTACTCTTTGAGCCCCAGACAAGGCAGTGCTCAGCAAACACAAGAAAACATGCCGGCTGCCACCCTTTAAGTCAATCTATGGGGGGCCTTCTAGTTTGAGTTTCACCTTTATATTGTATAAATATTCTACACTGCTATTAGATGGGGTGACATAAACATATGTATTTGGTTGTTAAAAACCTAAATTGTGTTTCCTTTTTATGGTATCATTTTCAGATCCAGATTCCAGCACTGACATCTTCTGCCACATGATGCCTTTTTATAGCTATGATGTCCCTCACACATGCGGCCCTGACCCCAAGATCTGCTGCCAGTTTGATTTCAGGCGCTTGCCTGGAGGTAGAATCAATTGTCCATGGAAAACACCACCTAGAGCAATCACAGAGTCTAATGTGGCTGAACGGTAGGTAAATAATATGGAATCTATAGTTTGCCTGTAATTTTGTAGCTGCATTTTGGACTTTATTTAAAGCAGGCCTTCAAAAGGGAGTTTGTTCCCTTCCAAACTCCAACCCAATCCCCCTTCCCCACAGTCAGAAAATGATTTCTTTTTCTGTTTACTTTTTATCCTTTTTTGTTTTTGTTTTTTTTTTTTTTCCTTGGGTACAATCCCTACCACAATTCTCGTCTAGGAGAGAATAACATGTCCCTGGTCATGTAGCCTCCTGGGATACCATTACACATGTTCCAAGAGGCTGCAGGACCACGTATACAGAGCAGCCAGAGGGCAGGGCCAGCGCATGTCATCGAGGGCTGGCTACCTGAACCAGAAGGAGGCAGCCAGTTAAGAGGACCAAGATGGCAGCATCTGAACAGTGGATTGCAGAGGAACAATACTGGCCCCACTGGGTAGGTGGGTAGGTGAGTATGTGTTTTGAAGCAAACCCGACTGTGATGAACACTGTGCCCGACCCCTTCCCTTCTAACCAACTCATGACAAAGGACCGGCTGCACCCTGCATAAAGATTTTCCAGCTCGCGGGACCACAATCTAGGTGCCGCAGTCTGAGAGCGATTTGTCACTGGGTTAAGTTAACTAAGCAATTAACCCTTTAAACTCCAAACTGCCACCAGATAACTTTGGGCCTATCAACCGTCTTTACACAAATTGTCACCACAGACAGGAATATTCCGAGATTTATAATATACATAAGACCTCTTCAAGAGACAGGGATTCCTTAGTTTGCATTAAAAGCCTTAGAGACATTTTCAATACTTTTTTCAAAATAGGGTTTAATACTGAAAATGGTCAAAATGGTGCAAATAAAATATTTCAGAAACAATGGTGTTACAAGAAAATAAAGAGTGCCCATTCACATATATGTGGATTGGATGCAGTTTGAACCGCATCCGATCCGCATAACATGTGAAAAAACATTGCTTCCTATGGTGCCTGTTCACATATGTCCAGTTCACTGGCAGTGCGGATTCAGTATGGGTTTTGAAAAGATTTCTGAGCAGTGCAGTCCGGTTCAGGTGCTATTGACTTCTATGGGAACCATTTCTAAACCTCATATGTGTGAACAAGATAAGATCCTGAGCTAATCCTGTCCTGAACCTGATGTAAACGTGACATGAACCTGTGAATAACTACTGTATCAGCTGTGAAACCTGATCTTCAATCTGCACTGCACATGTGTGAATCTGCTCTTAAGCAACAGAGAATTAAAAAGGAGTTGAAAATGGAGAATACTTGAAAAGTTCTTGGTTTTTAGAGTCCAATTGTCCAAGCAAAAATGTTGCAGTGGCTCTCTCAAATCCGGTAAGGTGTTCTTTGGTTGATGTTATACGAGAGCTATCAAATCTGCTTGCGATCTCCTTTTTTTTTTTTTTTCTGACATCAAGGAAGGCATTGACAGAAACCATCTGACCAATCCGTTTTAAGGGGTGGGTGCTGGGAGGTCATCACGTTTATGACCAAGTCCCATATACAGTTTCTTCTCAGTATTCATATTTCTGAATCTATCATTTACAGCCTGTTACCATGCATATTGTCCAGCATGAAATTCACTTGAAAATCAATATAAATATGGCAGGTCTCGCATATCCATTTCTCACAGAAGGGTTGTGGAGACCCAATTTAAGTCTGGTACCTCCTAGCATAGGGATGTTTGGGTTCACAATGCTAACCAATAACTGATGAAGGTGAATATGAATTTATTGTGGCTATATTATCTTAATTTCAGAAGGTATGAAACATGCTGAAGTTTTAGAATCATCTTGGCTGATAAGCCGTCTATTAGAAATCCGTATTCCACTAAGGTATTTATGACCCAACAGTTTTATTAGGGTTTTCAGCCTAGAGTGGGGGATTGGGCTAATGGGTATGAGAGGCCAGTATCTGCCCTGTTCTGGTAAGGCTGTGGCATTCGTTAACAGTTGTGGATTGCTCCAGAGGCTTCCTGGAGGGATGAAGAGAAGGGAATCACTGCTGCTATTCACCAAATTGTGCTACAAACTGCCATGGCTAAATCTGAACAACATGGTGTCCTTGCCATTCCACACAGTATGTGAGGGCTCAGTGCACGTTACCATTACACTAACAGGTAAAGGGGGGGGGGCATAGCGGGGGTGAGTGAAGTTCCTCTTTTAAAAGTGTAACTCAAACCAAAATATTTGTGTTTAAAGAGTTAGATCCTATACTGTTGCTGGCTGGGTCTCACTTGGGAAGATTTTGCCTCACTTCTTGGCTTGGTTACTACTGTTACTGTGTTAGGAAGTGGGCAAGTATTTTCCAAATGGCATCACGATTAGCAATAAAATTCCTGCATTGATTCGAACCCATCTCCACTCTATTACAAACTTTTTTGTGTTGCTGTATGTGTCCTAGCGGATATCATGTCTCGTGATCATCGCAGCGACAGGAGATTGGCAGACAGCATTAACACTTCCCTATCCAAGGTAGAATGTATTCAGCTTTATTAAAGTGGTTCTAAAGCCTTAAGGTTTTTTTTTTTTTAAGGTGTCCAGAATCCTCCCTCCAGCCCCCACTTATACTTACCTGAGCCTGATCTTGATCCAGTGCTGTGCTTGATAGCAGTGGCTCTCTGCCCTCTTTCTCTTCACATGGCAGATTGATAGTAGTAGAAGCCATTGGCTACCTCTGCTGTCAATCAAATCATGTGGCGGGGAGTGGGGCATGGCCCCTCTCTGTGTCTGTCGACACAAGCAGCATGGCTCGGGATCAAACCTGCAGGTGCGCCATGATAGGCTTCCTGTGCTGGCACTCCAAGTGGAGGAGCAGAAAGGACCGGGCGGTGGGTGATTCGAGAAGAGGAGGTTTGGGCCTGCTCTGTGCAATACTATTGCACAAAACAGGTGAGTGTAACATGTTTATTATAAAATAAAAAGAAAATAAGGTTTACAATCACTTTACTATTTTACAATTGCTCATAGAACATGGAGATTGGGTTTCTGACATTTTTATGGTAAGAGGATTTCTGATCATTTGCTAACAGTTTATGGAAATAGTACTATATTAAATTTGAAATGAATGGGTGTCGTCAGCACCACATCTCTATATAGCAATACAAAAAAAAACTCCCAACATAAAGAGAAAAACTACCAACATTCAGCGCTGCACTAGTTGCTTGTTACAATCAAGGGATGATCTTAAGAAATCAGGTTGAATGGTGTAATGGTGACTTATTTTATTGTATTTTAACATACACTGTTGAATAAATTCAGCTACACCATTGGCTGCTTGGTGCCTCTTTCCCTCCTCCTTCCCCTTCTGAAAAAAACCTCCTTACCACCTTCCTTAGTTTTATTGGTTTTAAAGATTTTCAATCTAAAAAAATATATATGTAAATTTAACAAGTGGTTCTGTGTTTATTCCTGAGCTTGACAGCACCTATACCATACTTAGTAATATTTAGTGATCTATTTCTATAAACTATTAATGTTTTATTCTAGTTTTCTCTGATGGACTTAGTGTTAGTGTTTGTTGGAAGGCTTCATCATAGTCAATTGTAAAATTATCCTTATGCTGAAAAAAAGACAGAGCTCTCCACTCAATCTTTTAACTAGAAAATCTAGATCAGCAGTTTGGGCAGTAAGGTGTTTTGTTCAACTTTCAGCTCTAAAACTGACCATAGGCTAATTGAAATTTAGTCGATTCAGCAGGGACAGGATGAATTTTTATCCATGTATGGCTCTCCCTGTTTGATAGAAGTCGCTCGTTTGATCAACTTGTGTTGATGGGACATGCTGGAAAACTTTTTTCGATCACCAGCTGCAGCCACTGAGAGTAACTGGCTGGCAGCCACTGAGAGTACTGGCAGCCACTGAGACTACCGGCTGGGGAATTTGTGTGGTTGGAGGAATCTATTAGTTTACCCGTCTATGGCCAGCCTTAGAGAGGATTTAATAAACAAATGATATAGGTTACTTTGTTGTTTTATTACAGTTCTTGGAAGTATTAAATGTTATACTGCAAAGTCTTTGTAGCAGCAATGAATGAAGAATTGTTTTTGCATGTTAATATTTTTTTGCTATACTTTTGTTTTTTGTTTTTTTTTTCCCAGAGCAAACCTCTTATTGGATCAGTACAGGAAAAAGTCCAAGCTGTATCGCAGCAAGGTGGTCCTTGTCCCCTTAGGAGATGACTTCCGTTATGATAAAATTCAGGAATGGGATGCTCAGTTCCTAAACTACCAAAAGCTTTTTGATTACATGAACTCCCATCCAGAACTCCATGTTAAAGTAAGAAAGTTGCTTCTACAGATTTGGTCACTGCTGATGTAAATCATGCAAGGTGATAGTAAAGTATGCCTCTTACTGAATAAACCGTAATGACCTGGAAAGCAAAAAACTGAAGGTAAATGGTAAAGCTGCAGGGATTTAACCTACCTCTGATAAAGTGTGCCCTGTGTCTGGATGGCTGCTGCAGAGTGTAGAAACCTTCCCCCACTTCTGTGAATGGAAGAGGCATGCAGAAGGGGCAGGTGAGCAGCGCAGCTCTTTCGCCCTCATATTAATCAGCCAGACATGGAACATACTTTATTAGAGATAAGTAATGTCTCTAGTGCTGCATAGCGAAAAAAAAAAAAAAGGGTCACAAATGGATACAATTGTGTTTTGCCAGTACTATTGTAATAAAATATTGCTGCATTATCCCCCTGTAGGAAGATCTGCAATGGATAGCTTTATATTGACTGAAGCTGGCCATACATTAAAAAAGAGAAGTATGGGCTTTACAAAAAAAAAACACATTATACTCACCTAGATGGGTGCAGCATCGGATCGATTCTTCATCTGTTCCCCACTGACTCTGCACTGAACTGAGCAATCAGGGGTCTCTGATCGTTCAGTTCTTTCTTCTACTCTGAGCAGAGAATGGTGACTATCAGTCACCGGCTCTCTGCTCTGTCTCCCCCAGTGCTCACTTGAGCACTTGGCCGTGGAGGGGGCAGGATCAGCTGGCTCAGGCTCACAGTGACTCGCTAAGAGGCTGAGCCAGTTGCCGGCCCAGATTTCTGGGCAGATCCCAACCATATGTTCGTGATCTTTTCAAGCCTGGACCGGCTCTGTGACGTCTGCCAAAAAACAGCTTACAGGAATGCAGAACAAACTGCACTCCTGTGATCCATAGAAGTACAGCCATAAAAGCTTTGGCTATACTTTTCCTTTAATGTGGGTGTACTTCATGGATCTTAAGATAGAGCCCAAAATGGCATCCAACCGGGAGTGCGTCACCAGAACTGACGTACGTTTGAATTGTATTGTATTGTACCTATTGAAGTCAGGTTAGGTGACAGCAGCTTCTTGTTAGTGTTTTTCCCCATTTAAGCGCAGGAGGATATTACTTTTTTCAATGTCTCTCCTGTGTTTTTTCTTTTTTTCACTTTTTTTTTCAGCCTGCTGGCTGAGCAAAAAAAAAAAAAACTACCCATCTATGGTCAGCTTTGGTCTTTAATTGTGTATAGCTAGCCTTAGATTCAACACTCCCCCTGCAATTCTTCTCTATTGCTAGCAGGATCAAAATCAAATTTTTCGTCAAACCGCTCCGTGTACAACTGAAATGCATATATTTAAATAAATTTGTAAGTCTGTTCAGCTACTCTTGTAATTTACACACCTCTTCCACTCTGCATAGCCAGTTAAATGGCCCAGTTATTTCTCGGTTCAGCTTTGCAGGTTCCTGTATCACTTGCCTGCTCCTGGGACAATAAATCAGCGGGGTGATAATAGTGGTTTATTGTCCAGTCACAAGTGACAGTAAAATTAGAAAATTGGGTTTTTGTCACCTGCTCGGCTGGCTGTGTAATGTAGCAAAGGACTGTGAATCACTGTACAGGCCGAAGAAAATGATGAATTCATTGGTGGGTAATACAGTTTATATACATCTTTATCAACTTTATACCTAGATGTTTGACATTTAAATAAAGCTACAAAAGGAGCTAAAAGCTAACCTAGCAAAAGGAAACCAGTAAAAGCTAAACATTTATTGACCGTGTAATCTGGCTCCTTCTATTTATAGAATATTGATATATATATATTTTTATTTAGGTCTGGAAGTAAGAACAGCCAACTGTAGTCTCTGCTATGGCAGAACAAACCCGAGCCAACAGGCCCAATAAATAATTGCGTGTTTTTTCACTTTTGTTGTTATTTCAGCTTTGCTTGCGCAACCCCTTAATCCATATCACCACATCACAATCATAAAGATTCACAACAACATAGCAGAGATAATACTGAAATGTTATATCCCATAACCCCAAAGGAAAGTGTTATTCTGTCTTGTAATATGTGTATGTGAGAATGGAGTTACTAAAGTTGGCCATACACCTTTTGAAATTCAGTCGGTTCCTGATCAAACTAAAAAAAATAATTGGCTTAGTGGGAGGGCCTGTCGGCCCCCTCCAGCCCAACAGCCTTAAGTTGAAACATCTAAGAAGCCGGGTGTAAGATTTGTCAGCAGAACAGCGGTTGCATCCAGTCAGATGCAGGCATTGTTCAGGTATTCTGAAAGCCGCTGGCAGTGGTCTTCAGAATACATTAGTCCTGCAGGGGAATTTTGCCTATCTGTGCTGTATAGCATGGATAGATGAATTGGTTAGGCTGTGTTTGTTTAGCCTGCAAAGACCTAATGTATGGCCAGCTTTCAGTCAGCCATACATTGTACAATTTTCTTTAGAATTACCATCAACTATGTAATGCAAGGGCCTATCTGATTGCATACAAATTGAAAGTGTTTTAGGATTGACCTCATATTATATGGTTTTGGTAAATCTGAAGGAAAAGTGTACAAGGAAATTGTATCGTGTATGGCCAGTCTTAGTGATCCCCATAGTCTTTTAAATAAAATGCTTTCATACATCAGCTCTCATTTTTTGTCTCTGGCTCCTTCTACAGGCACAGTTTGGAACTTTATCAGACTACTTTGACACGCTGTACAAGAAAACGGGAGTCACACCCGGAATGAGACCTCCTGACTTTCCCGTACTCAGCGGAGATTTCTTCTCCTATGCTGACCGAGAAGATCATTACTGGACTGGTTACTTCACCTCAAGGCCTTTTTACAAGAGCATGGACAGAGTGCTAGAGTCACATCTTAGGTTTGTTGGGAATGATCATGTGTGTGGGCTCTTCCCGAAACATGTAAAGGAAATGTATAGTCTGCCCAGTGTTTATCCACTTGCCTGCTGGACCCTTTCACCCCCTTCCTGCCCCCAGGCCAATTTTCAGCTTTCAGTGCTGTCGCACATTGAATGACAATTGCGCAGTCATGCAACACTGTACATATGTGACATTTTTATTTTTTTTTTTTCACACAAACAGAGCTTTCTTTTGGTGGTATTTAATATCCACTGGGTGTTTTATTTTTTTTTTGTACTATAAACAAAGACAACATTTTGAAAAAAAAAAAGTTTTTCTTTATTTTTACTATAAAATGTTGCAAACAGGAAATGTTTCATTTTCACTGATGTGCATTTGATGAGGCTGCACTGATAGGCAGCACTGTTGGGCACTGATAGGCAGTACTGATGGACATTGAGGAGGAGGCACTGATAGGCGGCACTGATGGGCATTGAGGAGGAGGCACTGATAGGCGGCACTGAGGGCATTGATGAGGAGGCACTGATAGGGCATTGAGGAGGATGAGGAGGCACTGATAGGCGGCACTGGTGGGCATTGAGGAGGAGGTGGGCACTGATAGGCGGCACTGATGGGCATTGAGGAGGAGGCACTGATGAGGCAGCAATGATAGGCGGAAACGATGAGCACTGACTGGCAGCACTGCTAGGCACAGACTGGCAGCTCTGATGGGAGCTTTTGGGGCTGACAATCAAGGCTCTGATAAGTGCCTTGAATATCAGTGTAGATTAATTCCTTGACAGTTGTTGGTTATTGGCAGTACTTTGCTCACTCTGTGACAGCATGAGGAAAGTACTACTGATAACGGGCAAGTGCATTTTCATGGTGATCCGCTGTGATTGGACACCGCTAATCGCATGGTAAAAGGCTGCTGTGATGGGCCCTTTACTGCGTCATGTGATCAACTGTGTCCAAAGGACACAGCAATCATAGAGAGCCCCGGGTGCGTGCTGCCTGAGTGGACATCATATGACGCCCTTCCAGAACTGGGCGACCATGCTGTATCTGTCATTTGACTATAGCCTCTGCTAAGAAGGGGTTAAATCCATAAAATACATTGGTTAGTTGTAAATTGTCTTATGAATTTAAAAAAATCTAGCCGCCCTAGGCATTTTTTGCACCACAAATAGACTGCTAAAACCTTACTCTCCCCCCACATTACCAACCTTAACACACCTCTGTAACGCATTCTCGCATTTATTTATTTTTTATCACTTTTAAGATTAACAACATCCAGCATCACATTTTTTCCACAGCAAATCTATTCTGGGTTTAGTCAGCTTTACTGGTTCTTCTCTCTCCCACTTCTCTTTACTTGACTGCATCACTCATTAAATTGGTCTCCAATATGGAATCTTGCACCAGCATTCTTGATCCCACTCCCTCCCATTTATTGAAGTCTCACTATGGTTCTCTCAGCCCTGATACTCTCAATATATTAAATGATTTCTTGAGCACTGGTGTTGCACAAATGATTCTGAAAACTGCTCTATCACCTTGGTCCCCCCCAAAAAAACTAACATGGCTCTGGACAAACTTAAACCACTTTCACCCCGTATTGAAGTTACCCTTCCTTGCTAAGATTCTAGGTAATCAGGTGGTTAGGTAATTGAGCTATCGTAGCTCAGTGACCTAACCACCTGACTGCAAAAAAAAAAACTGAACCCCTCTAAACTGGTTTTCAACAACTGCACTGCACAGAAATTGCCTTGGTCAAAATCACTGATGACCTCTTGATAGCTTCTGATTCTGGAACTCTATTTATATCCTTCATGCCCTCATTTCTTCCGTTTACACTATTGACCATGATCTTTCCTTGAAACCATGTTTGGCGTTTCTGAAATGGTTCAAGTACTGATCACTAGCAATTTGCCTCTCTTGGTGTATTCCAGTATGAAATTGATCCAGTCCAGTGTGCCTCTGGTGTCTGTCTTGGGTCTCTTACTTTTTAGGCCTCAGGCACAGTACATTTATTTATTTATTTTTTTTAGCTGCTTCTAGGGGCATCTGGCATGTTAGCCTATGTGTACAAACTCACATGGGCTTTTAGAGGAATTTAGAAGCAGGGGAGTTTAGAGACAGAAAAAACCTACTGCCAGTGCATCTAGAAGCAGCTGCATTTTGGCAAAAAAAAAAACCACTTGACGCCTGTAAACTCGTCTAAATATGCGTTAATGCTAGGCGTGTTTAGCGCTTGAGCGCTACTTCATTTCAGTTGCCAGAATAAATTAATATGCTTACATGGTTATATTCCTTGTAACAAATACATTTAGTTACATAGTAAGTCTGCTTGAAAAAAACACAAGTCTATCTAGTTCAACCAATAAAAAGAAAAAAAAAAATATACAATCATATTTCCACAGCAAAGCATGATCCAATTTGCTCCAATGGGGGAAAACAATCCTTCCTGATCCCCCGAGAGGCAATCGGATATTCCCTGGATCAACTTTACCTATAAATGTTAGTATCCAGTTATATTCTGTGTATCTAAGAAAGAATCCAGGACTTTTTTAAAGCAATCCACTGAGCTGGCCAGAACCAACTCTTGAGGGAGTCTATTCCATGTTTTCACAGATCTCACTGTGAAGAAACCTTTCCATGTTTGGAGATTAAATTTCTTTTCCTCCAGACATAAAGAGTGCCCCTTGTCCTCTGTGATAACCTCAGGGTGAATAGCTCTACACCGAGTTAACTGTATGGACTACCTATGTATTTATACATGTTGATCATATCCCCCCTTAATCTCCTCTTCTATAAATACATCAGTGGTTTATATCGTGAACTCGGTGTAGTTATTCACCCTGAGGTCATCACAGAGGACAAGGGGGCACTCTTTACGTCTGGAGGAAAAGAAATGTAATCTCCAAACACGGAAAGGTTTCTTCACAGTGAGAGCTGTGAAAATGTGGAATAGACTCCCTCAAGAGTTGGTTCTGGCCAGCTCAGTGGATTGCTTTAAAAAAGGCCTGGATTCTTCCTAGATACACAAAATATAACTGGATACTAACATTTATAGGTAAAGTTGATCCAGGGAATATCCGATTGCCTCTCGGGGGATCAGGAAGGAATTTTTTTCCCAGCGGGTGCAAATTGGATCATGCTTTGCTGAGTTTTTTTTGCCTTCCTCTGGATCAACTGTGGGTATAGGATTATAACTTTTTTTTTTTTTTGGTTGAACTGAATGGACTTTTTTGTCTTTTTTCAGCCAGACTATGTATGGCTCTTTGATTACAGCTGCTGTAGTGTGTGTTTGTTTTTGTTTTCATCCCAGTGCTGGTGTATAATATTAAAGTGTTACTAAACCCACAACAGTAAAATCAGTCTGTATATGCAGCAAAGCATGCTTGTTATACTCACTGTTGAACGTAAGGGGTTAATCATTTGCATTGTGTTACAAGGATGTTTGATCCTGTCTTCTCTGAGCCTCCCCTCCTTCTACTGTCCCTAATCCATTTGCATATAGAAGAGAGCCTTGGGGGCAAGCTGCCCGTGCTCAGTTTGGTATGTATTGCTAGAGTTTTTTCTTTTTTTTGGGAGAGTGCATGTGATCACAACAGGGCCAATCAGCACTGTCCAGACAGAGGGTCAGGGGTCCTGCAGCCTTATAGTACAATCGGGTGAGAATGAAAACTTCTACAAGCTATAACCAGTGCTCATCCGGACATTTACTGTTTCTCTCCTATGCAGCTGTATCTGTAACATAAAAACATGGATGACCCAAAACTTCCTTCAGCTAAACTGTGATGAGACTAAATTCGTGCTTTTTGGTCCCTCCATCTACTTGTAAAGCCAGTGCTTTAACACTGTATGTTAATGATACTGTGCTTGAGGTTCAGTTTAAATTGAAAAATCTTGGAGTGGATTTGATGCTAGCTTAGTGTTACTAAACCCAGGACCCTGCATTCACTATATCTGGTCCCTCACAGTACACAGAACATGAAAGTGCAATTATTTTAGTAAATATAAACTGCTAAATACCTTTTCTCATTAGAACGTTGAGCAGTCTTGTGACTTCTATCAGTGTCCAGCCTAGCACTAGCTAAAGCTTGTAGGGGGATTTTTCTTTCTGCTCTAGGAGGATGCACAACCCCTGACCCTCTGTCTGACCAGTGCTGATTGGCCCTGTGCTGATCACATGCACTCTCCCAAGAAAAAAAAACCTAGCAATACACACCAAACTGAGCATGTGCAAATGCCTACGGTTCAGTCTGTGTTATCAGGAGATAAGAGGTGGTCACTTGAAAAAGGGGAGGAACGGAGAAGAAAGGATCAAACGATCTTTTTACAAAATGCAGAGGATTAACCCCTTAGGTTCCACAGTGAGTATAACAAGCATGCTTTACTGCATATACAGACTGATTTTACTGTTGTGGGTTTAGCAACACTTTAACATTTGATCCACATGTACAGAATGATGCCAGAATAACTTCTTTCCCACTTCAGGAACATCACGTGACCAAGCCCTAAGTAATCGTACTCTGTGACTGAATAGTTGATCAATACATGTGTGTTCTCCAAACTTGACTTCTGAAATGTTCTACTTGCTGGGGTACCTAAATCTACACTAAACAGACTAAAGTATTTCCAAAATTCATCAGCCAGGATCCTGACTAGGCCTATTGTCAAGTGATCATATTACTCCTATCATTGAGTCCTTGTACTGGCAATCTGTCAGGTTTCGATTTGACTTCAAAGTCCTCAGGCTCATCCTTGTCTCTGCACCGCTTGAACCCAACTTATCTGTCTGAATAATTATCACACTACTTCCACCTAACCGCCCTCACTGCTCTAATTCTGGTCTTCTGTGTGTCCCTCAAACCCATCTACACCCTATGAGGGACACAGGGTCTTCTCTTGTTATGTCCTGGAACTCTGAGATTGTCTTGCACAGAAAATCGGTCACCTTCTTTTAGGTCAGCCTTCTTTCCATGCACACTACCATTTTTTCTAAGCTCAAAAAAGCTAGAAAAAACCGCTGGATGAAAAACGCTGATAATAGTGTTTTTGTGCCGGTTTGTAGTAGCGCTTAGGAGCGATATCGTTTTCGTTAGCGTTTTTACAGTACGTGAAAAAAAACGAACATGATCAAAAAAAGCAATTGGGACCCATTTTAGGAGTGTTCAGTGTTTTTTTTTTTTGGTTTTTTCTGCCAGGAGCACTGGAGTTTCTTTATATGTGTCATACAAGCGTTTTTATGTGAGTTTGCATTTTGGTTTTAATACATTTTTGGAGTACTTATGTTGCACTTTATTTACTGGGCACTTATTTGGTGATTTATTGGACTCATGTTTTTATATTCTTGTTTCATTTGTTTTATTACTTTTTGTATGCACTCATATTATGTCACTATTCTTTGACTAGTGAGGCATGATATATATATTTTTGTTCATTTGTCATCACAAATGTGTGCCAGCTGCTTGTGACTTTTGATCCCGAGCGCGGTAGTGGATTTGTTTTACCGGTTGTAAATGACTAAGGCCAGGTTTGCATCTATCCCATGTCTGCTTTTCGAATGCGTTTTTTTTCTAATGTGTGTTACAGTGCCTTCTCACAAATTTTATTTATTCAGTTGCACATCACAGCACATATAAATTATTTTATTTTTTTAAATTTTTTAACTTCAACACATCACAGGGCTCTGAACAGCCTCATTGAATACATTGCTTCTTATGACACATGCACTGTTTTGCTTTACAGGGCATGTGTTAAAGTGCAAAGATGTGAACAGCACCTTAATTGCTAAGTGAACGTTTTCTTTGCAAAATGAATCGTTTATACTTCTGAAAATCCTTTTGCAGTGGGGACATTTACTTGGCTATGAGTACAGTCTCTCATAAATTAACCCCAATACCTTTGAAACCTATAAACCAAGAATTATTTTCAGGAGACAACTCTGTCCATCACCAAAAATACCAAATAGAGTCTAGCTGTCATTTTCCCAGTGTAACTAAAATAAAGATTTTATTGCCATGGGCACTTTATTTTCCTTTCATTGTTGCTTATGGAAGTTTTTTGCATGAGATTGCTGTATGTGGATCATGATTCCTAGAGCATAATCAAAGAACTGCCCCGGGATATGGACAGCCATTGTGGCTGAAGCGGCGGTATAAGGAATCATCAGCACGTTCCTCAGTAATTTTCATGTTGTCAAGCTCTGATAATCACCTGCAATACATCTTTAATCTATATATTCAGGAGATATTGTAATATGGTTCCCTAGAGAAGTGGAAGTCAACAGACTGTGTAACTGACTATACCTCCATGCAGCCATTTTATCCAAGGCATTTAATTAAGAGTTCATTAGAACATGATTGTCTTTTACAGTGAGCTGCTCCTGGAGAGTTTTGCATCACCAAATGTATGCTGCTCCATAAAACGTATTCAAGACCAGATATACTCTGCATGCCGTTGTTCTTGTGGAACATATTGACTTTGTCTATGGTAGCCCATAGATGTAGGAGGGCATTGCATGTGCAGGCATGATGTGGCCATGTTTCTTCAATAGCAATAGAAGACGGTTACACGGACCTGAATATTTGGCTTACTCAGGCTTGCTGTTACACTCTATGAAGAGGGAAGGAGGCAGAGCAGGAGCCAGCACTGTTTTTTATCCGTAAGTCAGTCACCATAAGGTTTTCGAAGGTGATTGGCTCATATAGGAACAACCATAGGCCACTTGCATGTAATTGATCATGGATTACTTGTGAATGATTGGCCCTGGATGCAGACAATATTCGTCCAGGGCCAGTGATTTGTAGGCAGTCATTTCATGAGTGATCACATGAATGCAGCCACGAATAGCTGCAAGAGTTGTCGGCCTCCCATTGTTGTGCAATTGGGCAACTATGTGGCAAATCAGGTTTAATGTTGATAAATGTAAGGTTCTGCACTTGGGGGCTAAGAATATTCATGCATCATACATACTAGGGGGGGTACAACTGGGGGAATCAATGGTGGAGAAGGATCTGGGGGTTCTGATAGATCACAAGCTTAATAATGGCATGCAATGCCAAGCTGCGGCTTCTAAAGCGAGCAAAATCCTCTCTTGTATTAAAAGAGGTATAGACTCCAGAGAGAGAGATATCATGTTACCCCGGTACAAATCATTAGTAAGACCTCATCTGGAATATGCAGTTCAGTTTTGGGCACCAATTCACAAAAAGAACATTGGGGAACTGGAGAAAGTACAGAGAAGGGCAACCAAACTGTTAAGAGGCATGGAGGAGATCAGCTATGAGGAAAGATTAGAGGAACTGAATGTATTCTCTCGAGAAGAGGAGATTAAGGGGGGATATGATCAACATGTATAATACATCAGTGGTTCATATAGTGAACTCAGTGTAGAGCTATTCAGCCTGAGGTCATCACAGAGGACAAAGGGGGCACTCTTTATGTCTGGAGGAAAAGAAATGTAGTCTCCAAACACAGAAAGGTTTCTTCACAGTGAGAGCTGTGAAAATGTGGAATAGACTTCCTCAAGAGTTGGTTCTGACCAGCTCAGTGGATTGCTTTAAAAATGTCCTGGATTATTTCTTGGATACACAGAATATAAACTGGTTACTGTTTATAAGTAAAGCTGATCCAGGGAATATCCGATTGCCTCTCAGGGGATCAGGAAGGAATTTTTTTCCCTGCAGGAGTAAATTGCATCATGCTTTGCTGGGTTTTTTTTGCCTTACTCTGGATCAACTATGGGTGTGGGATTATTAATTTTAATTTTTTTTTAATGGTTGAACTGGATGGACTTTTGTCTTTCTTCAGCCAGACTAAGTAACTATATGTTTTCAACAGGGCTTCCCACCCACAGCTAGTCGCAGGGAACCCCCGCTGGGTCTCCTGCATCTAATCACAAACTGCCCCATTCACAAGTGTGGTTGGGACCTAACTAAAGTCAGCTGTATTTTTCCTTTTTAAAGATTGGAAAAGGATTAGAACCTCTGGTATGTTATTGCTGTCTGTGTCCTCATTAGTGCGAGTCACCCTCTGTTTTGTCTTGTTTTTAGTTCTGGTAACCCTGGTGATAACCAGGGATTCTGTCACTTTGAAGGGATTTCCTCTAACTTCCTGTTATGAGAAGTGAAAAGAAATCTGCCCAATGGGAAAAAAAATTACAGGGGTTGTAAGCCTTCCTTATTCAATCCAAAATGGGAAAATAAACTACTTTAAAGGATGCAAGTGGTCCCAGATCAAACATGTCCTTAGACAGCATTTTTTATTGGGGGACAATTCAGTGTCTATGGAGGAGTGCATAACAGCTTCAAAGCGGTGTTTGTGGGAAACAGAAACAAGCAATCCATTGGCCAGGAAAGCTTTGCCTAATTAATATTGTTCTTTTCCAGGAGTCTGGGCTGTTTGCATATGCCGCCCATCCCTTCTTGATTGCCCAATGCAGGAATGATTCTGTGCCTAGAGCACCCCTGTATAGGAGAGGAACCTGCAGGGGGTGACTTTATGGGGCAGATCGAACATGTATGCCTGGCTATTCTTTACTGTCTAAGGGCAGCACAGTGGCTAAATGGTTAGCACTCCCACCTGGCAGTACTTGGGTCGTTGGTTCGAATCCCAACCATGGTACCACCTGCCTGGAGTTTGCACGTTCTCCCTGTGCCTGCGTGGGTTTCCTCTGGGTACTCCAGTTTCCTTCCACACTCCAAAGACATGCCGACAGGTTAATTGGCTCCTGTCTAAATTGGCCCTAGTATGTGTATGTATGAATTTTAGTTAGGGACCTTAGATTGTACGCCCCTTGAGGGTTAGGGACTGATGTGAATGTACAATATATATGTAAAGCACTGCCTAAATTGACAGCGCTATATAAGTACCTGAAATAAATAATAAATTATGGTCACTAGAGCCCTGTATCTGTTAGTTACATACGTGTTAACATGGTTCTGATTCTTTCGTCTTAAATCTAGTCTGTACAATGAACATAACTGAAATGTGTATTTGCTTTCAGAGGTGCGGAGATCCTGTACAGCCTGGCGATCAATCATGCAAGGAGAGCTGGCTTGGAAAGTAAATATCCGCTCTCTGATTACGCTTTGTTAACGGATGCCAGACGCAACCTTGGTTTGTTCCAGCACCATGATGCCATCACTGGCACGGCAAAGGAAGCTGTGGTTGTCGACTATGGCGTACGGTGAGTATCCAGCTAGTATACTTCAGCATGGTACAGCTGAAATAATCTTCTCTTGTAGATCGTTATGAATCTACTAGATTCAACCAGTGAATGTATTATTGCTGATTATGCATTATGGTTAACAGGCAGATTATGTATTTTATGGCATACAGATCGGCGGGGAAATGGGCACACTTAAAATTATATAAATGGTGAAGCGCTCAACTTAAATAAAAGTGAAAATTATCTCATACCTAAATAAATTCCAAATATGCAAACTCAATAATCAATATAAATGAAAAAAATGGTGCAATATCCCCATATATGAATTATACGTCCCTGGTGGTATAGTGATGAACAACTAATACCTCTTGAGCTGTGCAAATATACAAAAAAAAAAAAAAAAAATCAATATAAATGAAAAAACTAGTGCAATATCCCCATATATGGATTATACGTCCCTGGTGGTATAGTGATGAACAACTAATACCTCTTGAGCTGTGCAAAGTGATACTTATATCCAATTAATTAAAACAATAAAATAAAATATTAATTCAAAATAAATTGTGATGCCACACTGTGCAAAATCATAAAAAGTGTTCAAATGACGTCACTCCATGCTGCAATTGTGCTCTTCGTGAAAATCTTGACGTGACTCCCCTCAATAATAGCCAAAGTGCCCCCTCACCTTCCACATTCGACCCTTGCGGGTCACAAAGCTTTATATATATATAATATATCTCTGCCAGGTGTTTTTCTCCTCCACTGCCTCCACCGACCCAATCAAGATCCTCCTCCAGGCAATGAGTTCCACTCAAATAACTCCCCTCACAATACGGACTTAGACACAGGGCGCATATGCAAGAAAAAGCAGACCTCCATAGTGCAACACTGTTTTAATGCACTCAGAGATATATAAAAAAAATGCACTGACATATCCTCCAACAGAGAGAAGCAGTTCCCCATGTGCTATGGGTATATTCAGGTGTACAAAGATGGCGTCCGAACCCGAACCGGAAGTACGTCACCCCTATGACCGGAAATACGTCGACGCGTTGCGCCACGATTACGTGGCTTCTTCGGGATGCCTGAAGAAGCCACGTGATCGTGGCGCAACGCGTCGACGTATTTCCGGTCATAGGGGTGACGTACTTCCGGGTTCGGACGCCATCTTCGTACACCTGAATATACCCATAGCACATGGGGAACTGCTTCTCTCTGTTGGAGGATATGTGAGTGCATTTTTTTATATATCTCTGAGTGCATTAAAACAGTGTTGCACTATGGAGGTCTGCTTTTTCTTGCATATGCGCCCTGTGTCTAAGTCCGTATTGTGAGGGGAGTTATTTGAGTGGAACTCATTGCCTGGAGGAGGATCTTGATTGGGTCGGTGGAGGCAGTGGAGGAGAAAAACACCTGGCAGAGATATATTATATATATATAAAGCTTTGTGACCCGCAAGGGTCGAATGTGGAAGGTGAGGGGGCACTTTGGCTATTATTGAGGGGAGTCACGTCAAGATTTTCACGAAGAGCACAATTGCAGCATGGAGTGACGTCATTTGAACACTTTTTATGATTTTGCACAGTGTGGCATCACAATTTATTTTGAATTAATATTTTATTTTATTGTTTTAATTAATTGGATATAAGTATCACTTTGCACAGCTCAAGAGGTATTAGTTGTTCATCACTATACCACCAGGGACGTATAATCCATATATGGGGATATTGCACTAGTTTTTTCATTTATATTGCACAGGGACATTTTTTGGGGATATTGCATTTTTTTCATTTATATTGATTTTTTTTTTTTTTTTTTTGTATATTTGCACAGCTCAAGAGGTATTAGTTGTTCATCACTATACCACCAGGGACGTATAATTCATATATGGGGATATTGCACCATTTTTTTTCATTTATATTGATTATTGAGTTTGCATATTTGGAATTTATTTAGGTATGAGATCATTTTCACTTTTATTTAAGTTGAGCGCTTCACCATTTATATAATTTTGTTTGCACATATCTTGCGGTATAGAGAATAGGTGATAGCAGCTAACTCACTAGGTTCTGTGGAGCGCAGGGGGATTTCTGTAAATTTAAATGGGCACACTTGGCCATTGTCACTTTGTAGAATACATAATATTGCAGAGGCAGAAGATGGGGGAAGGGGGCATTCAGAATTACATAAATATTGTAGCTGCTGACTTTTAAAAGTCAATTACTTACCATTTCCTAGAGTCCACTCTGTCTTCCTGCAGCCTGCTCTACCTGCTTTGGGTCCCTATCGCTGCCATCTTGGATTTGGGAGTCGGCTATGACTTCTCTGGGGACCACAGCCAGCTCCCTACTATGCATCTTCCAGATCACACGATGCAGTGAGCCTAGTCCTGCAGCCTCCAAAGACGTGACTTGTCCCAGAAGGCTACAAGTGGTGGCAAGGGGGCTAGGATGAGCAATACCATTCTCCTCTAGGTGAGAATTGAGTAGGTGGGGAGTGGGTACCTGTCAAAAAATGTACCAAATCCCTGTTTAAAAATAAATAAATGAAACCTCAAAGTGTTAGGGGTGGGGATGAGGAGGAAGGATTGTAAGTGTCACTTCTGTGTGAAAGTCCGCTTTTGAGTGTATTTGTACTTATGCAGTCAAATTTGAACACCGCCAGACAGGAGGGTGGGGCCAAGAGCAACCGCGGGGGACTCGAGAAAAGGAGGATCGGGGATGCTGTGTGCAAAACCATTACCAGAGACAGTCCCTGCTTTCTGCTCAGAGCGGTTGTGAGAACTCCATGATCAGGGTCATGTCATCGCTGAGATCTCACACTTAGAGCCGGCGGGGGGCAGATGTACCATCAGAGCAATGCTGCATCCACCTAGGTAAGTATGATTTGAGAAGAAAAAAAAACAAATCCATACTTAAGGGCTTGTTTACACTAATTATTGGAAGGGTGGTAATACTATGCAGTTGAGCCTTATTTTTACTGCATCCAAACTGTGCACTCTCTTCAGCTGCACAGGCAGTGGCCAAGGGCTTACACATGCTGTAGCCATGATAGGAATTGCCCTATGTTCATGTACAGTGTACATGGTTGCGGTGTAGTAGTGCAGCATTTCTGGCATTAAAACAGACAGTGAGGAGGCAACATACAGGCTCCTCACTGCCTATCAAATGCCTCTGAAAAGCAATCTGAGTATGAATACCTTTTCAGAGGAGCTGCAGCCCTTGCTACTAGTATAAATGAGCCCGAAAGGTCAGGTTGGCAAACCTAATTATTGTCATTTTGCAATTGGATGTTCACATATTTACAAGCTTTTGAACAAATCTTTTACAGTGTTGTTTTTTTTTTCTTTTTCTCTCAAGCAATTCAGCAGAGTTTTAAATAGCTTTTGTGTAAATATTTGATCAACAGAATTTAATTAATATTTTAGGATATGCTGAAACTGTCTCCCTAATTGCCCAAAGCCATTGTTTGAGAACCGCATCACTCCCAATCATAATGTTGAAATGTGTTTTTATTACAAAATATATGAAAATCTTTTAAAAAAATACATTTCAAATATACTGTATGTCTTTAAAAATACAAATCTACATTTTTGGAATGCATTTACAAATGTATGTAAAATATTTGTTAAAATTACTTTTTTTTATATGTTAAAAAAAATCTGAAGAATATCGGTATATTTAAAAAAAATGCCCAAAGCCATTGTTTGAGAACCGCATCACTCCCAATCATAGAAGAATTGTTTTCCTTGCTTTTATAGCCTAGAATCTCTTACTTCATTTTTAATGTTAACACAACTTCTTTTTGCTTCTAACCTCAATCTGTATCTGGCTGCATCTCTTTGCATGTCAAGTCTGTGCATGTTTATTTCTGTGTCCTACTCAGGTTGCTCCATTCACTGATGAATCTGAAACGCATCCTAATCAATGCAGCTCACTACCTGGTTGTGGCAGACAAGGAGAAGTATCACTATGATCACTCCGTCCCATTCTTCAGCACGGTAACTGTATTGTGGACGTAACAAACTACCTCTTCGGCTGGGTTTTTAATGGGTCAGCGTGAATGAATAAACTCCACTGTGACTTCAGATAAGACAGAGAGTAATGAAATGGCAGTCCAGTCCTTGTGCTGGAAGGCAGCCCGCTACCGTAAATAGAGGCAGATGGAGGCCAATAGTTCATAGCTTTGATTTGTCCTATTTTTTATAACAATGCTGTTGTCAGTTATAGTTTATGGTGTTTTCTTATTGTACCACAGACCTATTTATTACCTACAGTGAGAATAGTCTGCGCGGTACTATTAGGAAAGGTCGGTAAAACCTGATTTATCCAAAGTAGGTTTAAAAAGTAAAAAAAAATACATTTTAAATCTTCCATCCCTGCCACCAGATTAACAAAAAAACAAAAAAAAAACCACTTTTATTAGTATACGTTTAGGGTTATTTATTTACATATTGGAGTTTTTTTTTGTTGATTTGCACTTTCAAGGGTGAAAGTTTGATCCTATATGTGAAAGGGTATTATTGATATTTTTTTTATTGATACCGTAGTTATAGTTTATCCTGCCATAAGATTGCAGCAAAATTTGATTGGTTGACCAGCGGGACCCTTACTGCCAGAATAGGGTCTTCAAAGTGGTTTTCAACCAATACACTAAACTAGTTTTTTTTTTTTTTTTTTTTGCATCAATCATTCTAAAGTATCAATTATATCATGACTCTTGTTTTTTTTTTTCTTTTAAAAAAGAAGTATGGGGTTATAAAAAAACAAAACAAAAAAAAAAAAAACCCAAAACATTATACTCACCCGTATGGAAGAAAAATGTATTTGAAATATATTTTAAAAATATTCTTCCCAAATATATTGACATATATTTTGAAATACTACAATTTTGGCCATATTCAATATATTTCAAAATATATTTAAATTGTTATATATATATATATATATATATATATATATATATATATATATATATATATATATATATATATATACTTTTTTTTTTTTTTTAATATTCTTT